CCCCCCCCCCGCAGGTGGGGCACGTGCTCGGGGGTCAGGCCGCCCTGGGCAGCTGACCCTGGGCCCACTGCCCAGACCAGGGTGGACTCAAGTGCCTGCTGGACCCTCCTGCCTGGGGCGTGTCTGTGGGAGCCGCCCCTTCCCACGGCCACACATGGGTGGGGGGGCCCCGGCCCACTCCAGGGTCAGGCCCACTGTGTGTTCTTGTCCCTCAGCCACCGAGGCCGGTTCACCGAGTGAGGATTCCAGGGCCCCTGATGGACCCACCCAGCCACCCACCTTCCTGCCTTTCCAGTTTTCCAATGGGAACACGGCCCCCCGTCACCTGGGCTGGTGTGAGCCACCCCCTGTCACTCAGGCTGGTGTGAGCCGTCCCCCCTGTCACTCGGGCTGGTGTGAGCCGTCCCCTGTCACTCGGGCTGGTGTGAGCCGTCCCCTGTCACTCGGGCTGGTGTGAGCCGTCCCCTGTCACTCGGGCTGGTGTGAGCCGTCCCCTGTCACTCGGGCTGGTGTGAGCCGTCCCCTGTCACTCGGGCTGGTGTGAGCCGTCCCCTGTCACTCGGGCTGGTGTGAGCCGTCCCCTGTCACTCGGGCTGGTGTGAGCCGTCCCCCTGTCACTCAGGGACAGGCTGCTGTGACCGCTCAGGCTGGTGTGAACTGTCCCATCCCTTGGCAGAGCTGGCTTCGGCTGCCCAGCTGCGATGCTGGGACGTGCCCACATCCCTGCTGTGGGTGTGTTGATCAGCTGATGTGTGTTTTTTACTCGGGAGCATTTGTTGAGCACCTACTATGTGCCAGGCCCCGGGCAAACCTGGGACACGGGCTCCTGCTCGGGCCCCGTGAGCACAAACCCACAGGCACAAGGTAAGTCCAGGCGCAGGAGCCCCCCAGCCCGCCCCCTCGCCCCTCACCTCTCAGCCGGGTGCTTCTTCTCCACGGGCTTCAGGCGGCCCCTCCATGCTGCCGGCCCATCCACCTGGTCCTTCTGGGAGCCAGCACTCGGGCCTTGCGGGGGCAGAGACCGGACATATTGGGGGGTTCTGGGGAGCGTCTGTGGGAAAGGCTGGGCCCCACCATCTTCCTGCAGCCGTTCTGCCCGCAGGCGCCCCAGCAGCCAGGGCCCCGGGAAGGAGCGCTGCTGGGAGGCGGGCACAGGCCTGCAGCCTGGCCTCCGGACTCACACCGCCCTCTCTGGGCCTCACCTTCCCCGCTGCCCAACAGGTAAGTGTGTCCTGTGAGCCCGCGCCTGCCCACTGTCCGTGCGGG